TGCACCAAGGTAGGGTTAGGGTTAGACAAAATTGGTGTCCTGGCATGATTTTGATGGTTGGAAAGTGTTTGGATTGGCAGAAAAGATGAGGTGCGCAGAAAAAGCTACTCAAGCGGTGCTTTTTCAAAATCGCGGTCTTTCAGTGGTAATTGAGCCCTACATTAGGGTTGGGAGTATGCACCAGGGTAGGGTTAAGGTTTGGCAAAATTGGTCTCCTGGCATCATTCTGATGGTTGAAATGTGTTCAGAGTGGGCAGAAATGATGAGCTGTGCAGAAAAAGCTACTCAAGCAGTGCCTTTTCAAAATCGCGGTCTTTCATTGGGAATTGAGCCCTGTATTAGGGTTGGGAATATGCACCAACTTTGGGTTAGGGTTAGACAAAATTGGTGTCCTGGCTATATTTGGGTGGTTGGAATGTGTTTAGAGTGGGCAGAAATCAAGATCTGCCCAAAACAAGCTACTCAAGTAGTGCTTTTCCAAAATCGCTGTCTTTCATTGGTAATTGAGCCCTAAATTAGGGTTGGGAGTATGCACCAGGGTAGGGTTAGGGTTAGACCAAATTGGTGTCCTGGCATGATTTTGAACTTTGGAATGTGTTTAGAGTTGGCAGAAATGATGAGCTGTGCAGAAAAAGCTACTCAAGCAGTGACTTTTCAAAATCGCTGTCTTTCATTGGTAATTGAGCCCTACATTAGTGTTGGGAACATGCACCGAGGTATGGTTCGGGTTAGAAAAAATTTGTGTGCTGGCATGATTCTGATGGTTGGAATGTGTTTAGAGTTGGCAGAAAGGATGAGATGCGCAGAAGAAGCTACTCAAGCAGTGCATTTTCAAAATCGCAGTCTTTCATTGGTAATTGAGCCCTAAATTAGGGTTGGGAGTATGCACCAGGGTAGGGTTGGGGTTAGACAAAATTGGTGTCCTGGCATGATTTTGATGGTTGGAATGCGTTTAGAGTTGGAAGAAAAGATTAGATGTGCAGAAAAAGCTACTCAAGCAGTGCATTTTCAAAATCGCTGTCTTTCATTGGTAATTGAGCCCTACATTAGGGTTGGGAATATGCACCAAGGTAGGGTTAGGGTTAGAAAAAATTGGTGGGCTGGCATGATTTTGATGGTTGGAATGTGTTTAGAGTTGGCAGAA